CAGGGTGAGAAGTATGTACATGGCTTCTCTAGACCGGCCTTAGTCTGAGTCGACCTAGACCATAGTTATAACCGATATTGCTCTAGACCGGCCTTAGTCTTAGTCGACCCAGACCATAGTTATAACCGATATTGCTCTAGACCGGCCGGATGAGGGGCCCACCTGTGACCTGGAGAACTAAGATAACCACACAAAAATGAGACTGTCATGTCCCACGAAACTAAAACCGGAAAGGCTAACCCGGTCAACAATGCTCGCCGAAGTCGGATGTGTTGGCCGAAAGGAGCCAACATCGCAGCCAAGCTGTAAACGGACACAACGCGATGACAAATTCGGATGAACGCAGAACAAGAAAAAAGAAGAAGAAGAAGAAGAAGCTGCATTTATATGTTTCTAACTTACTATATATATTATGCATTTCAAATAACTGTGGCATTAACATTTTAATCATGGAGAATATATTACAGTTGTCAAATAGTGAATTATTTTGTATTTTTAATGTTGTGTTTAAATACCAGAATACCTGGGACTATAAATGACCAACAAATTTGACGCCAAGTCATCCATTATTTATTCTTATACTGGAACGATTCCCAAACCTCAGCTGCTCGTCTCCCTAAGGGCTCTGCACCTAACATGGGACCCGTGACAGCCCTAACACAATAAATAAGATTTTAAAAATAATTTAATAAAATGAATATCAAAAAGATACAAGCACACAAACATAGAAATGACATTTTGAAAGACTATATGCCAAGTTTAATCGAGCACCTCTAGAAGATGGTGCCTCGTCATTCTGTTGTTACTAACTCTAACATTAATTACATACAGTACAGCAGGGGCGAATGTAGCAGCCGCCTGCAACCGACACTGCATGGCGTACCTTTGATATAAGAGGCTGTGCACTTACTGATCTACCTTTGGCTCGGTTGTATATCTTTTCGTCATAGAGGTGAGTGCTCAAGTGATGTCTAGGATTTGTACAGGGGGTGGGGTGGGGAATGCTCCTAACAAAAACGGAAACCAGAATAAGGTTACTCGATCACAGGATTCACAGAGTAAATGATGGTCCGATTCTCTATATGATTAGTGTCAAATATTGACTGACAGTTCCATCCTTCCTTTCAAGGCTGTTTAAATCTTTGTATTACTATGACCAACCTACTTGTGACTTATGTTGAACAGTCTCCATTTACTGTTGACTATGGAACCTAGATATTCAAAGATCGGTTAGCATTAGGCAGGTTGACCAAATTCCCGCCACAAATGGATGAATCGACTAACGCCACTGTGTTGGTGGTTTTAGCAGTATTTGTTGGCATGTCTGACAAGTGTTGACAATCATCACCAGGTGCCTTGCCGACTGGCGTGGGCGATCATGCCTCTCCATAATCTAAGATCTCCTGCAGCATGTATCAGTTCGTGTGCCGACACACCTCCATGCCATGCAACAAGACTGTCAAAAATCTTATCTCGTTGTCTTCCTCTATCCCTCCTTCCACATATCTTTCCAGTGGTCACAACATGTTCCATTTTCCCTCTTCTCGTAACATGGCCGAAAAATGATGACTGTCTCCTTCTGATGTCTGATAAGTTGTCTTCGGGCTCCCGCCTCTATCAAAACCTCTTGGTTGCTCTTGTTAGCTGTCTAAGGTATTCTAAGCATTCTTCTGTAAAACCACATCTCCGAGGCCTCCAGAAATTGTTTGGCCTGCCTACCTATTGTCCAGGATTCACAGCCATATGTTAAAACTGGATGTATGTAGCAAGCAAGAGTTCTTTTTCTAACTCTCAATGACAAGGATATATGCCACAAGATGTTTTTCATTTGATAAAATGCAGTTTTTGCCTGTCCTATTCTGTTTCTTATCTCAGTTATCCATCTTCCATCTGATGTTATCCATGTGCCCAGATGCTTAAATTTCTGTACTTGTCCTAAAATAACACCATCGACTTTAATTACACATTTAGGAATAATTCGTTTCTTTGATACTACCATTAGTTATGTCTTAAAACTGAGGCCCATTCTTCTCCTTTCTAACACCACAATGTCTAACATTTCCTATAGTTCTTTCTGACTTGTTGCTATCAAGATTGTGTCATCAGCATAACGTAAATTGTTTATATTGTGCCCACCGACCAGAATTCCGGGCATATCATTTAAAGATCTCATTATATATTCACTGTATATTGAAAACAAATCAGGTGACAGTACACATCCTTGTCGTACGCCCCTGTTTATGCTTTGAAATGTGCCTAAACAGTTGTTAATTCTTATAGCTGCTGTTTGCTTCCAATACATATTCTTTATTATTTGTAGATTTTTCTCATCAATGTTTAATTTTTCTAACAGTTTGATTACTTTTTCATGCTTCACACAGTCAAATGCTTTTGTATAGTCTATGAAGCATATGTACAAATCAGTCTTTACTTCTATAGCTCTATTTGACAATGTCCTTAGGATGTATATGGCATTGTTTGTACCTTTTCCTTCTACAAATCCACATTGTTCATAGCTGATTTCTGGTTTAATTTTGTTTCTTATTCTTCTCATAATTATTCTCAGTAAAATCTTAGTCATGTGACTCATAAGACTTATTGTGCGATGGTCTTCACATTTTAAAGTGCCTGGTTTCTTTAGCAGAGCTAAAAATATGGATTTTAAAAGGTCATTTGGAATATACCCATTATTATAAATATCATTTAACAGTTTAGTTATTATTTCAATTACGAAATCTCCCAGTACTTCGATTTCTTCCAGTGAGATGTTGTCTGGCCCCGGTGCTTTTCCTTTCTTCATATGATGTATTGCATCCTAAACTTCTGCAGTCATTATTGGTGGACCATCATTGTTGGTCTGCAGTTCTACATCTGGTCTATTATCACCCTATATACTCTGTCCATCTGCTAATTATATTACTATGTCCCATTAATAAGTCACCATCTTTTGATTTCAAACATCCAGTGCTGTTACGTGTCATAATTATCTGTTGGTACATGGAATGTGAGTCTTTCTGTGATTTTCCCCAATCTCTGTACACATTTGATTCAGCCAGGCTTCTTTAGCCACTTTGCATTTGTTCACTATTTCTTTTTGTATTCTAGAGTATTCTTCTTTATCATTCTTTTTCTTCCTTCTTTCATCCAACAACTGCAGAATTTCGGTTGACATCCATTTCTTGTGTGTTGACAATATCATGTGTGTGTGTGTGTGTGTGTGTGTGTTGACAATATCATGTGTGTGTGTGTGTTGACAATATTATGTGTGTGTGTGTGTGTTGACAATATCATGTGTGTGTGTGTGTATATGGTAGCAGGTGTAGTGGGTGCTTTGCTGAAAATAAAAATAATTAAATGAAACAATCGCCACGTTCAAGCATCATCCCCAAGGAGGAGCTGTAGGTTATGTCAGTCATAAAAAAATGGGTTTGCTTTATGCGACACTAAAAGACATGAAAGAGACTCTTGTCGTGTTGATACCATCAAAGGAGACAGGCCCAAATATTGGCCTGATAGGCGACGAAATCGTGTACCGGCGAGCCAATGTTCGACCCGGTCGCCGATGTGTTGTAACAGAGAATAAATCAATTGTTATAGCATATTTTATTTTGAGAAAAAAAAATTATATATATAATTGCGTGGGCATTGAGCAGTTATGTCTCTTTTCATTCCAGTCTATCTGGTAATCTTAGTTTCAGCTTCACAGCAAACGGGGCATCCCATAGCTGCTCCGCTCCTGTGCCAATGAAAAACACACAGAATGTTTATCACAGTCCCTTGTGAAAAGATTGACAGATTGCTGTATCAGCATATCTAACATGAACACGCATTAAAAGCATACGATAGCCATCCGAAGTGCTAACACCAACAGTCCGACATTAGAAATGCAGTTCATCATGGGTGGTAGCAGAAGTCACCAACAGATCAGCAGTTGCACACGCAATCAATTAAAGTCACATAATGGCACCACCAATATTGCGAAAACAGGCATCATACCATTTTCTGAATCTACAGTTCACTCCACTACATTGGTCACAGGTTGAAAAACATTCCAAATGAAATCCGCAGCTCTCGGTGTCACGCCATGCACTCAACTCAGAAGCTGGGCAACAAAACTATATCCTTTCAGTCTACAAATGGAGCAAAAAATGCAACGGCCACCGTCTGGCAGAAGCAAACAATTTGCCATGGCTCGAAACAGTGACCATGCCTAGCGTCCATTTTGACCGGAAGTCTAACTTCTCTGCCCCGCAACATAATCTGTAAATATGAGCAATTTTTAAGTTATTGGGTCTGGTAGACATAAGGGACTCCGCCCAGAGGTAGACATAAGGGACTCCGCCCAGATGTAGACATAAGGGATTCCGCCCAGAGGTAGACATAAAGGACTCCGCCCAGAGGTAGACATAAAGGACTCCGCCCAGAGGTAGACATAAAGGACTCCGCCCAGAGGTAGACATAAAGGACTCCGCCCAGAGGTAGACATAAGGGATTCCGCCCAGAGGTAGACATAAAGGACTCCGCCCAGAGGTAGACATAAAGGTCTTCGCCCAGAGGTAGACATGAAGGACTCCGCCCAGAGGTAGACATAAAGGACTCCGCCCAGATGTAGATATAAAGGACTCCGCCCAGAGGTAGACATAAGGGAATCCGCCCAGAGGTAGACATAAGTAAGGGACTCCGCCCAGATGTAGACATAAGGGACTCTGTCACATAAACTGATTTTGATAACGAGCGTCCCAAGTCACATAGCTTGAGAACCATTGCCGTATTGCAACACTCCCGTCCGCGTTTGTCGGTAATTTGCAGAATCTGTGGAAGGTGGTTTACCGTCAAGCGCCGCAGAACACGTGACTCTCTAATGGACCAATGAAAGAGGACCTGTATTGCCGCCATCTTTATTGGAGAAGCGCAGTCACAATGTCTCAACGAAATGTAAATGGATGAACTCTGGCGCTTCTCTCTCTACATCGTCTTCACACTACACTCCTCTACTCAGCATGGCTACCGAAGGTGGCAAAATTAAAGTAAAAAGGCGGACGGCACCCAGTAAACCGTACGAGAGAAACTTGGTAAGCTGGTTGTGTTGAAAGTTGTTGGCTCCTAGTCCCACGTGAGGGATGGCAGACCGCCTTGTTGTCCCAGTCATTCTGCGATTGTTGCAAACATTTCTTCTCATTACTGTGTATGCAAATGTGTTAAACTAGCAACTTACATGTAATCATTGTTTATAACAAATTTACAACTCTAATGTATCATGATGATCTTGTTCAAGGATGTGTCATCTTTCATCATGATTGCATTTTGAATCCCAGGAGCTGACTGAAGGTGCTGGACTGAATTGAACATTTGAAGGCTAGATCACATTTAAATATTCTGTATCTTTACCAACTAACAAATTCTGTGACATGTTGTGGCTGTAGATTCAGCTTCTTCGGTTAACATAACCAAAGGCACATCTCAGACATTTCTGTCAGTTTTGCAAAGCATTTTTCAAAATGATTCTGCATATCTTGAATGTTGAAACTGAAGTTTGCTCAGACTTCTGTCAGTGGAGTGCTATCTCATACTGCTCAGACTTCTGACAGTCGAGTGCCATCTCATACTGCTCAGACTTCTGTCAGTCGAGTGCCATCTCATACTGCTCAGACTTCTGTCAGTCGAGTGCCATCTCATACTGCTCAGACTTCTGTCAGTCGAGTGCCATCTCATATTGCTCAGACTTCTGTCAGTCGAGTGCCATCTCATACTGCTCAGACTTCTGTCAGTCGAGTGCCATCTCATACTGGTCATTCACATGATTATCTTTGATTGTGTGTGTTTTGTGTGGCCTTGTGTGTGTTACCATATACTATACAAAAGACATTTTGGCTCTCCTTGCAGATCCGGACGAGGGTTGGATGCGGGCTGGACGACTTAGTTCAGTTTAGTGGGAGTTCTCTCCCTTGGCCACACTCGAAACAATGAGCGGAAAAGTCACGAAACAAATGACGTACTTACCTATCATCATACGGTTGCGTTTAGGGTTGCGTAGTCATCATACGGTTGCTTGTAGGGTTGCGTAATCATACGGTTGCCTGAGGGGTTGCTTAGTCCATCATGCTGTTGCGTGTAGGGCTGCGTAGGGTTTGGGTCAGTGGTAAGGGTAGGGTTAGGTTTAGCGTTAGATGTGACAAATTTGACAACGCAGGAATTCCCAATAATCGCGCACTGTCACAAACACACCCAAACAGTCGACGGACTGTGGATGCTACTGACACGGACACGTCGCCACCAGTTGGGCACCAGCTGCGCGCTATTGCGGTCATATTTGACAGACTTCCAGTGGCGCCACTCCCACAAGCATCAGATTGTCGGCCAGTATTTGGAACTCCTACGTCAAAATTGTCACATCTAAGCCTAACCCTACCCCTAACCCCGAACCCACACCGTACGCAGCCCTACACGCAACCGTATGATGATAGGTATAACCCTACACGCAGCCGAATGATGACTAGGCAACCCTTCGCACAACCGTATGATGACTACGCAACCCTAACAGCAACCGTACACAACCTTACCCGCAACCGTATAATGATAGGTAAGTATGTAATTTGTTTCGTGACTTTTCCGCTCACTGTTTCGAGTGCGGCCAAGGGAGAGAACTCCCACTCAACTGAACTAAGTCGTCCAACCCTCGTCCGGATCTGCAAGGAGAGCCGACATTTTGGTTGTATTCAGTATATCTAAATATGTGGTCCTTCCAGAACTAGCACCTTTTCCTCACCATTTGAATTTAGTTTTTCTCTTTCAAAGCTCCACATGAGTGATTTTGCTACCATTTACTTAGTTCTCTTCTGTTCAAGGGCCTTTGTAAATTTTTGTTCAGCTTGCATCAAGAAAATGCGATTAAAAAAAATGTTTGTTGATGGGCAAGAAACGTGAAACTCATTGATAGAAAAGAGATGACAGAATAGAAGTCAACTAGTTAGAAATCTGTGTCATACATGAGCAGTGCTGTCAGTCTGTCTAGATGATAAACTACAGTGGTGCCAGGCAGTTCAGTTTGCTTCATAAATTATTGAGTTAAAAAAACTAAATTTGTGAAACTTGGGCAGGTATTGTACTTAAAAAGACTGGACAGTAAGTTTGGTCAGCTTATCTCACTGCTGGTCACCTTGATGTTTTCCTTGGGGGGTTCCTGGGCTCTATTGTGGAGAAAAGAATAAACCCACTGCCTACCCAAAAGCATGTCGTAAGAGCCAACGTATTGGGGTTGTCCATCGAATTCAGAGTACATCTGCCTTAGAGGCAAGGAACCAACAGTCTGTATGCAGACGAGTCAGATAGTGAAATGGATGTGCACGAGACACTTAGTTACAGTCCAGAAGTGGACGAACAACCTTCTGCCGGAGTTTACAGCAGGTAAACGCAAAGAAGATATATACGTGTAAACTATAGCATATTTACCAACACTCTACATGCTAGTTTAAGCGAGAACATGAACAGTGAGCCATAGGAACTAACAGCAGCACAAAGTAAGCCATTTATCAACAAGAAAGGGTAACTGGGGTTTAAAATGTCTGTTTGCTGTGTCCTTGTTTTGAGATTCATTCTTTAAGTTTTCATCAGCTCAGTTTCAGAATTAAAATTATGACTGTAAAATGTTTTGTTGTTGCTTCAGACTCTGTTTGGCAAGTTGAGGAAATCTGTCAAGGAACTGTTGATCCCATCGTGGCTGTCGAGGCCTGAGCAGGGAAGTGAGAGTCTAGGCACCGGTGATGCCTGCCTGGCTGCACAGGTAAGTGCCTTCTTAGTGTGGACCTTACCTTGTTGAAGTCTCTCAGAAGGCAACTGTATACCTCTATCAAAGCCGACCCACCCTTGTTTCTGTTCCAGTCACATGACTTTGTCAAACATGATAGAAGTGCTCAAGATTGGTCACTACTCTTGGAGAGGAAGAGGAAAGTTTTCATTGACCTTTATAGAGAATCACTGATAGAGCTAAGATCGTATTTGGCAACATTATCCATGGTTTATTTGCAAGGGAGGTTATCTTGTATTTAAAAAAAAAAGGCAGACAGGTAATAGAGATTCTCATTGTCAGGTGAGTTGGTGCTCTTTTCTTGGGCAGTTACCTCTGATTTCATTTCATTGTTGTCTCCATCTCCATGTGCAGTCTCCTGGTATGTTCACTCTTCTTCTTTGTTTTCATCACTTTTATTTCCTCTTTTAATTTTTAATTTTATTTTTATCTTTGCTTGTAATAAGCCTGTAGCTGCATTGCTGCTTTCTATGTGAACTCAACGATATTGTGTGTTCTTGCTGGTTTCTATGTGAACTCAACGATATTGTGTGTTCTTGCTGGTTTCTATGTGAACTCAACGATATTGTGTGTTCTTGCTGGTTTCTGTGTGAACTCAACCATATTGTGTGTTTTTGCTGGTTTCTATGTGAACTCAACGATATTGTGTGTTCTTGCTGGTTTCTATGTGAACTCAACGATATTGTGTGTTCTTGCTGGTTTCTGTGTGAACTCAACAATATTGTGTGTTCTTGCTGATTTCTGTGTGAACTCAACGATATTGTGTGTTCTTGCTGATTTCTGTGTGAACTCAACGATATTGTGTGTTCTTGTTGCTTTCTGTGTGAACTCAACGATTTTGTGTGTTCTTGTTGCTTTCTGTGTGAACTCAACGATATTGTGTGTTTTTGCTGGTTTCTGTGTGAACTCAACGATATTGTGTGTTCTTGCTGGTTTCTGTGTGAACTCAACGATATTGTGTGTTCTTGCTGGTTTCTGTGTGAACTCAACGATATTGTGTTTTTGCTGGTTTCTATGTGAACTCAACGATATTGTGTGTTCTTGCTGGTTTCTGTGTGAACTCAACGATATTGTGTGTTCTTGCTGATTTCTGTGGTCTGAATCCAGGTTAAACACCTGTGCTTTGGATAGACCTGTGGAAATGGTAAGTACATTGCTTTATATTCTGCAGTTTCGTTGCTCATGATATTTTGTGTAATATGGGACAAAAGTGATAATCTGATTGCTGCATGTTTTCAAGTTCATTGCTAAGTTGCAACACCCACATGGAGCATAAGACCGGAAGACTATGTTATATTTTTCTGATAGGAAACTGGTACCACCCCTTATGCATGCCTGACCATGCTTGGGTATTGTTGTATACAGCCATCTACCATACTATGTCCACTACAACAGTATTCACACTGATTAGTCGAGGGGAAGATGGTCAGCAGCACTCATATTTAATGTTGCCTTCTTGTGACAGACTTTGCTATGTTACTGTAACGTTAATATGAAAATCATCACTGTTTGTATTGTCTAAGAAAGGGGCATTGTTGCAGATTTTGTCACATTGTTCTAATGTTAATATGAATATCATTGCTTTGTATTGTCTATTAGTTAGCGGGGGTCATTGTGGCAGACTTTGCCACGTTGTTCTAACGTAAATATGAATATCTTTGCTGTTTGTATTGTCTACAAGGGGATCAATATGCAGAATATGTCGACACTAAATGTGAAGATGAACAGTGTTTTATGAAGCACAGATTCTAACACTTTACTGATATTGTTATGTTTACTGGGTTAGTTCATCCAGATATGCTAAATAACCAGGGAGCTTAAAAAATGTAAAGAACATTTTAAAAAAACCACATTTTTTTGCATTTCTGTTGCAGAGCTCGGTGCCAGCAGGTGAATGCAACAGTGGGGTGGTGTCTGGTGCCCAGCTCCACAACAAGGCTGGTGATGGACATGCTGGGCTCGTGCAGCAGCCGTCTACCTCCAGTGGGGAGCAGACGCGACTACCAGCAGCATTGCATGATGTGCGTGGGCAAGGTGAAGGCAGCATCCCTACTCCAGGTACATGGTGGTCTTTTGTTTGCTTGTTTGACATGTTTATAGATGCGCCTCTTGATGTTCACATGTTATGAGGGAACTTATTTGTCACAAGCAATTTAGCAGTGCCTTGAAAATAAGTTTTTAACACTATTTTATGTGTTTATTATTGGTGTGTTGTAGTTGACAGCTAGGTTAATGCACCTGTGCTTTGTAGCCTAACATATCTATTTCAGCAAACCCTTGACCATTCCCCTGTTTGAAATGGGCGGGTGCCTGTTCTGCTTTATGCTTACTTACTTAGTTGCTCCTCTTCTACCTAGGGGTGTGGAGGTTCGCCAGAGAGATCACCAGACTTCTCTATCAGCAGTTTTTCTGGCTTTGTTCCATTTCAGTTCTCTGTCAGTCAGGGACTGTTAGATGATGTCTTCCCAGAGGATCCAGGGAGTCTCATTTCCTGGTTCTTAAGCTTCCATGCCTGCCATGGTGGCTGATTTTCTCCCATTCTGCACACATGTCCAAACTAACGTAACTATGACTGATTCACACGGGTTTGTAAGGACTGGTTATCAAGATCTTGACGTATTGTCTGACTGCGAACTTTGTCCCTTCTTGTCACTTGGACCACCTTTCATAGATATCTCATTTCTGAGGCCTGAAGCTGGCTTCTGTGAACTGTTGTCATTGCCCATGATCTACTCCCATAGGTCAGGATTGGCACATAAATAGAACAATAAACAGGCAACTCCAAACCCATATAGGGAACACGTTATTTTCAAAGGGTCACAAATTAGGCACACAAGCCCGTCTTACATTTGGGCATTCCAAACACCCATCTTCACCACAGCAGTTGTCAGTTTTTACATACTGACAACAGATTAACATATAAACACACAGTCATACGCAGACTTCAAATACACAGAGAGCAAAAATGAAGGCTGACTGAGTCATACATTTAAGGCGATGCTAACCTTTTGAAACTAAATTGTATACTATTTAATTTCTTCTATGTTCTGGTATTGTATAGGGTTTTATATTGAAGTGAATAATTTAATTTGTACAGTGAAGTAATAATTAGATCTATACATGATATGCCAGGTATATTGGTTGGTGGGCATATTGTTAATAATCTGCTATATGCTGACAATATAATTTTGATCACTGAAAATTAAACATAACAGCAAGAAACGATGGATATAGTTTTAACGAAAAGTAAAAACAAAGGCCTTAGTTTGAACAGCAGGAAAACAGAGTAATGGTAATGATAAAGAAAACTAACCCTCCCAAATGCAACATCAAAGTCAAGAGGACAAACATCAAGCAAGTTAAGTACTTGGGTACCCTGATAACGAAGTTGGAGGAGAGGCAGAGGGAGACTGAGAGAGCAGATGCTGGACAGTTTGAATCACGGCATGAAGGATAATCTGTGTCAGAGTTGATTGAAAGTACAAAACAGAAGATTGTAGATAGACATGACTACGAAAAAAACCCGTTGCTTTAGAACTGAATGATTCAAGTTTTCAGTGTTTAGTTTTTTCACCCTGGTGACCTAGAAAAAATATTTCCAGGATCCCATAACCCTGTTCGTTTCAGGAATTCATCAAAAAACCAACTTCTGGAGCAATATTTATTTTTGCATGTCACAAGACAAAATGGTAACAATCTGTTTCGGACGGTAACAATGCACACACCCTACAGATGAAACTGAGCAATTATAAAAAAACTATAAATGGAGCAGGAATTAACTGGCTTACATTTCTTTTAGCGCTTAATAACAAATACAGCCTGACCTAGTTTTGCCTGGTAACCATAGACAAAGGCAAAAATCACATAAGTTTACATATAAAAAAAAGTTTTTTTCCCACAAGGGCCGCCCCCTGTGAATTTTTAAAATAGTAAATGTAATAGTTCACGGTCCCGTTAAAAAAAAAAGGTTCTTTAGCTGCTCTGTTGTAAACAGGCCACTGTAGCAAGTGGAACTGGCACCAGCCAGAAGTGCTGAATTTATGACCTATCAGGGTAACTGGGATCAGTTTTATTGTGAGATTTCTCTTGTTTTTCCCATGCTTAATTGTTGAAAAATATTTCAGGGGAAAAGAGTGTTTATGATCATCGAGCTGGCAGAGTGGCAAATGTCAGCAGCATAACAGACAGACGAGTGAAGCCAGCTACAAATAAGAGGAACACATCATCCACACCCAGTAAGAAAATATAATTGCAAAATCTTCTTATTCTTATATATAAAAGCACAGCAGATGGCGCAGTATCAGAAACTTCATGAAATATTGCCGAGCCAACAGCTCCCTGCTCCCCTGAAGCCTGGGCTAGGCTCCTGCCTGACCACACGATTCACAAGGCTGTCTTCTAAGCTGGCAGTTTGTGACAGATATGTGTGAGGACAGATATACAGTAAAACCTCATCGATACAAACTCAGTTGACCCTGTAATGGGTTAGGCAGCCCAGCGAACCCCTGCTCAAATTCTCGGAGCTAAATAGAAATGTGGCCCAGAGACTGGTCGTGGACAACTTGGAGCTTGATATAAACGGAACAAGATAGTTGGTTATGCACAGCAATCTAGCTGAAGTTCTTCAGTAACTTTTATACTGGCCAGCAGTTATCTTGACCCATTTTTTGTCAAGGAGAGACCCGAGACGGAACAGTAACTCAGGTACAGAGAGTTAATCTGTCTGTGATAGAAGACAGCAATGACATTTTGTTGGGGGGGGGGGGGGGGGGGGGGGGGGAGAGAATGACCGAGAAACATGTGGTTAGTTTGGTGATATATAGTTATTCAGACTTGATATATGTGTCTCATCGTCATCTGTCTTGATCCTCTGGTACCTTGCTGTGAAATATAATTTATGGGAAAGTGCCCGTTTGTGTACTTCCGTAAATTGAGATTCACATGGGCTCTGTAACTGCCTCTGTCCTTGCTTGCATGCTTGGCCTCTTCTTTGCTTCCCACCTGGTCTGTACATCGTTTCCTGCTGTGGTATACTGTGTTCATGTGTATAGTGGCTAAATCTGAGGCCCACTGGTTTGACACCGGGCAGTTTCATGTCTGTATTGTACGAAAGTTTCAAGATCATTTAGCTGTTGTATGGCGCACAAAATACAGGCATCATGTTAAACTTGAACGCAGGCTGGTAAATTGAGCACAAGTGGTACATGTGGCGACTGCTGACCTGTGGCACAAGTGTCACTGATGACCCGTGGCTACCTGGATGATATTACCTGTGTATTGCAGCATGTGTGATGTGATTGCATGTGTGATGTAGTTGCATGTGTGATGTAACTACTATTTATTCATAATTATAGGATTTGGTGATGAGTTTGATGAGCCAGCCTCGTCTAGAGTGCACCATGTGGCATCACACGGATCTGAGTCTTATTTAGACACACAGAATCAGAGCAGAGATGTGGGTAGAGCCCACCCCATTATGACATCCACCAGGGTCTTGAACCAGTCCATGGATGTCTCCAATCCTGGTAATGTGTGTGTTTGTTCGCTCTGTTGTTTGTCCCTGATACAAGTGTGCATGTTTCTTCATTTGGTTTTTGCATGTGGCTGTGTCACATGTTGTTAGTTCACTGGACCAGACAGTATGTCAGTAGCTAACTTGTTGAGTTAGCTGCTTTGTTGATTGCCTGGTCCTGACCATCATATTGGGGGTTTGCCCGTTATGAACATGACTCAAGTCTCAAATCTCTTTCATTCAACTTGGAGTTCAGTGTTGGTTCAGTGGACCTGTATTTCTGTAACTGGGCACTGCTGCAGAACAGGTTCACCAGTTGGTTTGCCTTGTCCACTCTTACCTCGGGGTGAAGCAGCTAGACACACCCCTCACACAGATGTTTGTCCTGAGTGACATATAGGTGATCTTCTTTTGACATTGTGTGACAGTTATCACAGATTTGAGTAACAACACAGGTGATCTTCTCTTGACATTAAGTGTGTGACAGTTATCACTGGGTTGAGTAACAACACAGGTGATCTACTCCTGACATTAAGTGTGTGACAGTTATCACTGGGTTGTCACAAAACCTGCCTGTATCATTTTCTGTATGCCATGTCTCATTACGACTGATAACACCTTGTGTCTGTCATGTGGCGTGACTGGTTATATTATCAAATGACTGGTGTGGTTATCAGGGTGTATTGTCGCTTCAAATGATGAAATTTAGGACTCTGGATGTAAATGAAGAAACACTCAACAAGTGTCTGGACCTCTGATGAAGCACTTGTAGACTTCTGTTGTGTGTGTGTGTTTTAGAATTAAATCAAGGGGAGGAATGGCAAATTGATACATTTAACTTAGTGCCTTCTGTGTATATTTCAGGGGTGCATGGCAATTCCTAGTTGATGTTTATTATCTCATAGGTATTGTTGGTCTACATTATCCCTTCATTGAACAATTCTGCCTTAGTTGTTGTCTTTTTGGAGATAGTTTTGATAGTACCACTTGGTATTGTGTCACCTATGATGATCAACCAGTTGTTATAGCTGCTACATTTCACTGATGTAACTGCGGCTGTCTGTACTGCTTGAGATGATTGTAACTGCTAGTGATTTCCCTGAGATCTCTCAGGTGTGGCTACACCTCTGCACAAGCACCTGTAGATTGGCTGGACATCAATGTTGAAACCAGTAACAGAAGGGATTGGGGTGGGGTAGGAGGCCCGGGCAAGCGACAGTACACTGGTTTGAAACAATCTGAGCAGTACTTTCTGTCTAAATATATTGATGATGGTATATGTTGATTGTTCATATTTAACCTTATCTCATGGTTGGTAGGTTCTATCTAAGCATAAAATCCCTGATGACTTTATTCTTCCCATAGTTGATTAGATTCTCTGATATCCATTGTTGTAGTGCTGCACATGATGATGAATGTACCACTAACTGTCATTAAGAAAACTCCATAATTGTGTCTGGACCTCTGATGAAGCACATGTTTTCCCTAAAATGCTTCTGTCCTGTGCCTATCATGTAGATGGATTCTGCTTCCCCTTCTCCAGTTCTCATCCCTCAGACAGTTTCATACACAAGGTGTCTTCAGCGTCCTGTGTCTGCTTCCATGTTCACCAGTACCCCAACATGATAGCGTTGACTAGCGATTTAAAAAAAAAATGTTTAACTTGAGCAGAATGGCAGTGTGTTTGTTGTTTCATGAAGTTTTCTCTGAATTGCCACAACATTTGGATACTGGCAAGTAGTGATGCCAATACTATGTCTACAAGATTGTTGCCTGTCAGCTTATGTTAGCAGTTGTAGGTGTGTGAACTTGGCCAGCATGTTTAGTGCTTCAAATGATGACATTCTCTTGTCTGACTTGGATGGAGAAAATCTTGAAATGTCTGAACCTCTGATGAAGCAGCTTAATATTCATTGAAACAATTTGAAACATAGCATGTATTTTAATTGTTGTTTGTGCATAGTCTGGTGTCCATCCAAGAACACTCACTACTTATCTGTCAGTATCATCTGCTCTATATTGTACTTTACGTGACAATTAACTGTGTCATCTTGCAACGGCTTGTCCTGTGTATATCATGTAGGACTTGTAAAACTGCTTGTTTACTTTGGCATATACAAACAGAATTAGCCCTTTTTTGTATGTCATATGTTCAACCACCTTAGGTGTTGTTTTATAACTATTTTATATCTGTCATATGTTATAACTGGCCATGTTATATACCAAATGACAAGACAACTATCTGGTGACTGTCACATCTGCAGACAAGATTATTACTGCTTTAAATGATAAAATGCTTGACCCTGGGTTTGAATGAAGAAACACTCAACAAGTGTCTTGACCTATGATGAAGCTGCTGCTTGGTTGACTAAGATCAAATCAAACAAGTTTAATGAACATTTGAACTGCATATATCTCATCAATTAATTGTTCTCCCACCCCATAGTTGATGTTATCTCACCCCATAGTAGTCCCATCTCAAAACATTCTTGCCATAGTTAATTTTGAATGTGTGTGGTGAAACTAACTTTCATGAAAACCCCGTAATTATGTCTGACCTCTGGTGGGAGGTGTGTGTTCCCCCCCCCCCCCCCCCCCCCCCCCCACTTTATAGTGGACATCAATTTGAGCAGATGCCCTGAGATTCACTTGATGTGTAAAAAGTGGTTCTAACTTTGTTGACAATTGTCTGTAGGTGTTTCTTATTGCATATTTGTATGTGAGTTTATGCCAGTGAGGAAATGGCAGTGTGTATGTGTATTGAGCTTCATATGATGACATTCTATGTCCTGACTTGGATGGAGAAAATCTTGAAATGTCTGAACCTCTGATGAAGTACCTACTTATTGAAGGCAATATTTGGAGTGAGTGCGATACATGAATGAAGCCAGGATATTGTGTGTGTGATTGGATCCACATAGAGATTTGAGGGCATTTGAAACATGAGTGCATTTTATTATACCAGTCCTTGTTTTGACATGGTCTGGTGTTTGTCAGGTGTCAGCAAAACCTGCCTGTATCATTTTCTGTATGCCATGTCTCATTACGACTGATAACACCTTGTGTCTGTCATGTGGCGTGACTGGTTATATTATCAAATGACTGGTGTGGTTATCAGGGTGTATTGTTGCTTCAAATGATGAAATTTAGGACTCTGGATGTAAATGAAGAAACACTCAACAAGTGTCTGGACCTCTGATGAAGCACTTGTAGACTTCTGTTGTGTGTGTGTGTTTCAGAATTAAATCAAGGGGAGGAATGGCAAATTGATACATTTGACTTAGTGCCTTCTGTGTATATTTCAGTGGTGCATGGCAATTCCTAGTTGATGTTTATTATCTCATAGGTATTGTTGGTCTACATTATCCCTTCATTGAACAATTCTGCCTTAGTTGTTGTCTTTTTGGAGATAGTTTTGATAGTACCACTTGGTATTGTGTCACCTATGATGATCAACCAGTTGTTATAGCTGCTACATTTCACTGATGTAACTGCGGCTGCCTGTACTGCTTGAGATGATTGTAACTGCTAGTGATTTCCCTTAGATCTCTCAGATGTGGCTACACCTCTGCACAAGCACCTGTAGATTGGCTGGACATCAAGATGAAACCAGTAACAGAAGGGATTGGGGTGGGGTAGGAGGCCCGGGCAAGCGACAGTACACTGGTTTGAAACAATCTGAGCAGTACTTTCTGTCTAAATATATTGATGATGGTATATGTTGATTGTTCATATTTAACCTTATCTCATGGTTGGTAGGTTCTATCTAAGCATAAAATCCCTGATGACTTTATTCTTCCCATAGTTGATTAGATTCTCTGATATCCATTGTTGTAGTGCTGCACATGATGATGAATGTACCACTAACTGTCATTAAGAAAACTCCATAATTGTGTCTGGACCTCTGATGAAGCACATGTTTTCCCTAAAATGCTTCTGTCCTGTGCCTATCATGTAGATGGATTCTGCTTCCCCTTCTCCAGTTCTCATCCCTCAGACAGTTTCATACACAAGGTGTCTTCAGCGTCCTGTGTCTGCTTCCATGTTCACCGGCACCCCAACATGATAGTGTTGACTAGCGATTTAAAAAAAAAATGTTTAACTTGAGCAGAATGGCAGTGTGTTTGTTGTTTCATGAAGTTTTCTCTGAATTGCCACAACATTTGGATACTGGCAAGTAGTGATGCCAATACTATGTCTACAAGATTGTTGCCTGTCAGCTTATGTTAGCAGTTGTAGGTGTGTCAACTTGGCCAGCATGTCTAGTGCTTCAGATGATGACATTCTCTTGTCTGACTTGGATGGAGAAAATCTTGAAATGTCTGAACCGCTGATGAAGCAGCTTAATATTCATTGAAACAATTTGAAACATAGCATGAAGTTTAATTGTTGTTTGTGCATAGTCTGGTGTCCATTATGTCCAAGAACACACTACTAATCTGTCAGTATCCTCTGCTTTATATTGTACTTTACATGACATTTAACTGTGTCATCTTGCAACGGCTTGTCCTGTGTATATCATGTAGGACTTGTAAAACTGCTTGTTTAACTGTGTCATCTTGCAACGGCTTGTCCTGTGTATATCATGTAGGACTTGTAAAACTGCTTGTTTACTTTGGCATATACAAACAGAATTAGCCCTTTTTTGTATGTCATATGTTCAACCACCTTAGGTGTTGTTTTATAACTATTTTATATCTGTCATATGTTACAACTGGCCATGTTATATACCAAATGACAAGACAACTGTCTGGTGACTGTCACATCTGCAGACAAGATTATTACTGCTTTAAATGATAAAATGCTTGACCCTGGATTTGAATGAAGAAACACTTAACAAGTGTCTGGACCTCTGATGAAGCCGGTGCTAGGTTGACTAAGATAAAAGATGTTTAATGAACATGTTAGCTGCATATATCTCACCAATTAATTGTTCTCCCACCCCATAGTTGATGTTATCTCACCCCATAGTAGTCCCATCTCAAAACATTCTTGCCATAGTTAATTTTGAAT